CGTGAGGTCGTCTTCGTCGTAAGCTGTTGCAGTTCAAAGCACACAGAGCGTCCTTTGCGCTCGATCGCAATTCTACTTACTATTCAGCTTTTACTTCTGGCCTTGTCGCATTTTGCATGCCCTGGCACTTCGATTCTGGTATCTTTGAGTCGAGGTGTTGCTGCGCAACGCGCTGAGCAAGGAGATTCCTGGCCCCAGCGAGGGCCCTGGCTGCAGTTCCGCTTCATCGAAATGCATAGCTCGCCAAAGTGTTTTCGAGGCAACTTACTTCAGGATTCGACAGGAGTTGAACTTCATTCGGGAAGCACGCAGCTGCCTAAAAATGCTTTGAGATGGAGCCACTTTCTGGCGGGATAGTTTGCAGCGTGGAAAAGCTGGCGCCCTGTCCTGCAAGCAGCCTCAAGTTGAGCGCAGCAGTTACTGGTGTTGGTGCAAGGCAGTAAGGCAATGTTTCGTTTGTACCTCCTGTGTCTCGTTGTTTTGAAGCCAGTCCCATCGATGGCCAGACAAGATGAAGACCAACCACATGTTCCTTCCACTTTGTACGTGGCTGATATCCAAGCAACAGTTTCGTCGTGATGGCGGGTTAGCAGACAATTTTGTTGATCCACGGCAGGCCTCCCCTTCACGCTGATGTTCGACTACCCCTCGTACATCGGCAGCATTCAGTTTTTCGCGCTGCGGCAGCTTCAATCTAGGAGCTGCTAGCTGCTAGTACATACAAGCATCGCAAGCCTCTGCATGTAGACTCTTCATCTGTCACCATTCTCAACCTGTTGCCGGAAGTTCTAGCAGTGGTCCTGCTTCCTTTATGCTGGAGCTGGACAGATCTGCCAACTAGAGCTGTCTGTAATAAGTCCAGTTTCGCTGCATTGTCTACGACTACGATACGTCCCAAACAGTTTCCGTTTGTTTTCCGAGGATTGCAGACTTGTCCCAGTTCCTTGCGGGCTCGGCGGGCGCAGAGGAAGAGGAGGCCTGCTCGACGTCAGCGGTCTCACTTCAGACGAAGAATGAGAATTGCAGCAGAACACGGCGAAGCCATACAAGGGCCTACAAGATCCGACGGCAGCTCGTCACCATCAAGTTCATGTGTAAAGTTCCAACAAACCTGGATACGCCACTCTATTGACATGCTACTTAGTTGAGAGCACCTACAGTGAACCCCATAGTGTTGGAACATGGGTGTAGGAGGATTGGTGCTGGGATCCCCTATACCTTACCTTAAGGGCGACGATATTGATTTTCCAGCTTTCTGGATTCTACTATAGACTATCAAGTCGATGAGCATCGATTCCAGTTTGCATCGTTACTAAGCCAATTTAAGCCATTTAATCCATGACGACTCTTTCAAGACCATTTGGAACCTAAACCAATGCATTTACATCTGTATTTAGAATAATCACGAAGAACACCTGATGAGTCGTGCAGTGTTAGCTTCAACAATATTGAATTCCAGTTCGGGCTTTGGGGAAACTCTGCGAGAAGGATGTTCAGCGCGGGGTTCCCTATACATGTTGTTCCCTTGCGAAGCCCTTGCCTGGTGAGTAAGGGGTGTGGTCGGACATTGAACCTGATACTCAAAAGGTACCATGAAAATCTGCAGGGGCAACGGGCCCGCATCTGGATCTTCGAATTCTACAGAAATACAGAAGATCGTGGCTAGGGCCCCTACCGTCACTGGGAGGCCAAGCTCCTTGAGCGAATTTCCGGAAGCCTAAGTCCTCGTTGGCCTCGGGTGTTTTGTCGGCTGAACTTGTCACGACGCCCCAGAAGTTATGCCAGAAGGTTGCGCCAGTCCCTTTTTTATGTGCCAAGCTCTGAAGGTGGAGGAGTGGATCGAAGTCGCGGAAGGGCTGGGCCAGGCCTGAGCCGTCGCCTAGCCATTAGACCGAGCATGCGTGCATGTGTGTGCGTGTATGGGTCAGTGATGGTCACTGGTTCCGACATCTGGCAACAGAACCGTCTGTCATCTGATTGTATGTAAGATGATGAGAAAGGTGCTGCATCGGGTATTACTGTTGTGCTGCTGCGTTTGCGCTGTGATACGTTGTGTTGTACCATGTACTTCACACCGTCAGTGATGTTTCATGTTGCATCAAGTCATCAAGTGGAAATATATTGTGCTTCATGTGAACGCATGGACGCATACCATGCAGCACAGCATGATGAAGCATTGCACACGTACACACACACACACACACACACGCCGACAGACATACACACCGAGAGGCAGACACACACACACACACATCGACACATATACTCATATGTATATATATATATATATATTATACATATACATATTTGTATGCTCCCATAGACGATACGAGCATGCAATGTGCACGTGTGTCTGACTTGACTAGACAGTTATAGACGCGTACACACACACACACACACGCACAGAGTGTCTTATTTCCCTGCACGATACTTTATGCAGTGAAACATTCATGAAGGCACCCACCCAGACCAACCTTACGCGTTTGACAATATGTTGACCTTAAGTATTAATGATCGGTTCGGTTAGGGCTTAACTCCAAAACAGCAGGCTCGGCCGGGCGCCGGCAGCACAGGCTGGTTTGGGCATGTTGGGAACCTTGGCACAGGTGTCCTTTGACGGATCTCAGCAGCACGACAAGCCCAGGAGAGCCTCCCAAACTAGCAGTTTGTTTCGGCTCCAGCCAGTCCAGCCAGTGGGCATTGAACACGCGCTCCCAGCCGCTCTTTCGATTGATCCAGCGGCCATGCCCGACGCAGCAGTCACTAGGACTTCAGAAGCAGCTAGGGCTGCTGGGGCTGCAGGCTCTCTGCGTGCAGCTCCGTTAAATGGCAGTGTCTGAGGTTGCTGAGCGCATGAACGCACAGCTCTTCCAGCAGCTTGCCCCCGGGGCTGCTGCACGTTTGGCCGGGCGTTGTGCCAAGGCCTTGCTCCGCAGCAGGGAGGAAGGTGAAGAGGTTAGACGGTTAGACTGCAGCCTGGCCAGGATCAGACCTCGCAACAGTGGGTGCTGACGACCACAGACGGACACCGGGCTTCTCAAGCTTCCCTTCGTGTGCAACCCTAACCGTCCGCCTTGAGCAAGCCTTGGAAGGTCATTCGCCTTTCACAGGCCCGGAAATGCGTAACCTCCCGCAGGAAGTCTGACGACTCCACAAGGACTCAACGCCTCTCCTAGCACAATCTTGAAACATCTGGAAGGGGCTGCTTCTCTGTCAGCCTCAGCACTCAGATTGCACACCAAGCCTCAAGCTGAGCTATATACTGGTGAAAGAGAGCTCTTCAGCTCAGGAAACAACGTGCCTTTGACTGCTGATGACGGCGTGGAGCTACAATCTCAGGAGCTGCAGCGACAATCATGCCGCATCTGACCGTCATTGTCTGCTACGGAAATCGAAACTGTTCACACCAGGTTACACCATGTCTGAGGTCTTCGAAGGCCTGCCCACAGTAGTTTGGACAGAAATCAGCAACCCAGAAAAAATGGCGGCACCTCTTGTTTCGGCTGTTCGACTGTTGGAGTCCAACATGCACTGCTAGAATCTGCTAGACAGCTTCGCGCGTTGTGTTTAGTCGAAGAGGAGGGTGGGAGCAAAGACTCGACGGAAGGGCCCACAGAACACAGTGAACGCCAGAGACACCATACCTAATGAAGCCTAGGCAGAGCATCCGAAGAGATGCGATGTAAGTCCGACGAACACGCAAGGACTTTGTGGAAATCGTGGGCTCCAAGACCTCGGAGGGCCAGCTGCGCGCCACGGTCTTTTCCGGATTCCCGAGTTGGCCCTGCGCGATTGTGATGTACTTGTGCCTCAGCTCTCTTGCATTCTCTGCTGCTTCTCTCTATATCTCTCTATCTCTCTCACTTTGTATCTCTCTCTCTCTCTCTCTCTCTCTCTCTCTCTCTCTCTCTCTCTCCCTCTCTCACTCTATGTATGTACGTATGGATAGATATACGTATGTACGTACGCACGTATGTATGCTAGCTAGTCATGCATACGTACATATGTACATTATACATAATTCCAACAGGCATGCAGAGAGAGATGCACCGTTTGTTTGATTTCATTCTCCGACTGTTAGTGTCGGTAGACTATGCTCACAAACTTGAAGTGGCACAGGTTCGCTGATGCGAAAAGCACCTGGGGCTGTTCAGCATTTGCAGCTAAAGCCAGCTCCGCATCCAACCTAGCGGCCAAGCGCAAAGCCCCAGAAGAGCAGTGCTTTACGGCTGCTTTCCAGGGAACCACATGGTGTACATGGAAATGAAATCCGCCGAAACGAAAATATGTTCCCGCGAAGCGGGTCCCAAACATCCGCCCTCGGACCCTCGAGTTAGGCCGCCTGGTTATGCAGTGACAGCATGTGCACGAATAGAGCCTCGCGGAATCGAGAAAGGCTGTTCAAGATCTCAGGGTGCATATACGCAAGCTGGCAATCCTTGGAGTCTTCCGGGTTTGATAACGATACTCTCAGCGCTGTAGCAATGCGTGCCTGATCGCATCGCATACCTTGCAGGAGAACGAAGTGACAAAGTTTGCAAAGTCCCGCCAGAAAAAGAGACTCCTTGCATTTCGTTCCAACCCTGCCATTCTTGAAGTTAGGGCGGCATAGATCAGAAAGCACCTCCATGCCATGCAGGTTACTCGAGGCGAGGCGGGAGTCAAAACCTCGGCCAGGCGGAGATGTCGACGCAGAGCTTTGGGAGAAAGCGGTGGCGTTGGCACATCAACCCCAGGCACGGCTGGCCGAAAATAGCTAGGACATAAATATATTTGTCATAGCCAGATCAGGAAACTTCAATAATCGGCCTCCCAGGTCCGCCACCTCTTCCAGCCGGCATGACGTCGTGTCGGGGCAAAGCTGGCAATTGCTGTCACTGGGGTTTTGTAGGAGAGCTGGACCCGGCTACGAGCTCCACCGAGCAGCGTGGTGAATCAGAGAGGGGTGCTAGGATGGGTCACCAGGTTCGCTGCTCGCTATACGAGATATTGCGCGTGGTATGGCGCCCTGCTGTTTGAATAGATGCTTTTGGCCCATCCTGGTGGACGCAGGTAGCTATTTTGATCTGCACATGCGTTTTCTGATTGCCGGAAGCTTGGAGCTCGCAGGGCAGCATGCGATGTTCGAAAAGACCCGTTGCCACCTCGAAACGAAACCGGCCAACTATCTTCGATGCCTTGCCCATGCCAAGAATCAACAGCCATGTCGGAAAACAGAAGAGTCTAAGTGTAAGTTCAACCGACACTTATTGAGCGCAAGCCACCTCAGCCGCCGCAGGCCCTAGCCCTGAGAAGCTGCGCGAGCAGGCCGGCAAGTGGTTGCTGTTCAATGGTGAAGTGTTTGCCCTCTTTCATGCGTCCTAGGTTCTAGGTCTTTGCAAGCAGATGTAAGCAGCATAAGAAGTTTAAACTACGACTGCGATTGCCTGGTTCCCCAGCGGTCCTCAACAGTCTGCAACGTGATGTTGCAAGTCGTAGTAGGCACATCGCCTTTTGAATGTCATGATCGTCGGAATGCCTGCCACGAGAGCTTCGTTCCTGTAGGGCCTTACCTCTTTGGTCAGGTGAAGTCAGTGGTTGCTGAGATCGTCGGCATGGAAGACTTGGTAGATGCCAGGTCCCGATTCTGGTATCTCTTGAGTTGGCTCTCCCACGGCCCGAGATCCGAAGCAGAAGGAGACGCTCCAGACTCTTACGAGCGCCAGCAATACTAGAAGCTCTCCATTTTCACAGAGACTGAGGACACTCCGCTCATGCAAGCTGGCCTAACAAGCCAATCGGCGGCCGGGGGGCTTGTGCTCCAGGAAGCTGGGGGTCAACACGGTTCTTTTGTTTTTTCTGTATGTTGCTGTTGTTCAATGCAGGTTGTAGGTACTTTCCGGAGAGTCAGAGGGGGAGGCAGAGGCACTCCGACGGACGCCAACGCTGCTGAACGAGAGAAGTGACGCAGTCGCAGCAGGCCGCAGGAACGGAGGTGGTCGAAGTCACTCAGGTCTTGTTGCGCAACGCCCTGAGCAAGGAGATCCCTGGAGCCAGCCGGACCCCTAAAGTCCAGGCCTTTCCAGTCGTGGCCTCGAAGTCTTAATTTTGATTGCATCACGGACCACAGGAAGATCTCGCCAACTTTGTTGCTGATTGGTTTTGTAGACCATATCATAAGACTCTCACGCTTTGTTGCCGTGCGAGAAGTGGACCCGACAACAAGGATCTTCGCGTGTAAATTCCTTCATGTACCAAGAGCTGAACACATGAATCAGAGGTGGCCTCGTCACTTCCCAAACAAGCCAAGATAGAAGATAGGAAACACCTCCCTTCTCTGGTTGCCGGTTGCAGGGTTTTGGTTCAGAGTCGGAGGCCCTCGCCCTCCACTAGGACAGCCGTTGGCCCTGGAGATTCCCTGCCGCTCCAGGGCCGTTTGCAGCCATGGCGCGAAATGAAGAAAAAGCGATGGCGGCCCTGAACCGGTGGACAGCCCAGAAGCGGGATATAGAGATGCAGAAGAACATGGGTGCCTTGGCAATTCCAAGACGCAGGCACTTTACTTTCCAGACAAAGTACCTTTAGCACCACACAGCAGATCACTGGTGAACCTGCACTCTTCAGCGCGCTGACATCGTTGAATCACTGACCCAAGGCAAGGCAACTTACATGGGTGGAGCCCTGCCCGACACCGCTGCTTACGGGCCTTACAAGCGCGACAAGAGGCCGAAGATTGCCTCGGAGGTGGGAGGGCAGACCAAGCCTCGGGATGCCACGACGATTTCCCGCATCTCCAAAGGTGAAGACCGTCAAGGAGTGTGAGCACTGGCGACAGGACATCCTCCGCGGCGTGGCGCTCCGTGGCTGACAGCAAGATTAGCAAGGCCCAGCCGTTTGCACAAGGTAGCGATATTGCCACTGACGAAGGACTGTACGGTATAATGAAGTGTGGGTCATGAGGGATGTTTGTGCATCGGTGATTTCGCGTGTCATACACGTCGGCATGACCTGAGCAATCCCACACCAGTTGCGTATAGCTCCTCACTGAGGAAGAAGATCGCCGAGATCCAAAATGCAGCATTGGGGGAGCACCGCATCCGCGATCTGAATGACGAGATCAACAAGGCAGCTCGGTTCCACCGGAAACTGCGACAGAAACCCCAGACTCAAGCTGGAACGCTCGGTTGCGGGATGCCTGACAACTTGGGCTGTTCAAAAACATGTGACAATGCAGGGAAGCAAAGCAACAAGCAATGCAATGGCAATGCCTTTCCTGGCACCGAACATCATGTTCCGACAGTCGGTCGAGTGCCTGAGCCAAGCTAACTCTTTGTAAACCTCCGTCCATGTCCGCGATTCAGTGATGCAACACCAGAGCTAGCCTTGGCTAGGATCTGCGCGAAAAGGGCTACTGGGAGGACCAAATCAAATCACTTGGAGGCCTGAACCATCGAAGCTTGAGTTTGTGCGTTTGCGTGCCTATGCCGAATGTGTCTAGCTCAGAGGATGATGTTACTGGGACAGTTCCGGAAATGAATATAGTCTTTGGTTCGTCAGTCAGCGTCCTGCAAGTAGACTTGTGCTAGCCATGCCAGCCCCAGGTGCGGACTACAAGTCTCAGCCGAAGCGGGATGTCGAGACTTACGGCGCGGAGTTAGCATCACACAGCGGCTACAAGTGCCCTCGCCGCAGCGACATGGGTTTGGAGGGCTTGTTTGTTTGCAGGGTTTCGACAAGGGCTACACTACTTCGCTAAGTTGTATTTAAAAGTTTGGCTTGGACCACCCGTTCTCGGCCATGTCGAGTTATGGTCCGGACTGTATGCAGGATAGATGTCACCATGTGCTCCATGCAAGCCGGGCCGTCCCCGTTAATCTATGAACTCTGACACTTGACATTGTGTTGCCAGTTGGTCCGGCAAGTCCAGGGGCTCTCCAAAGGTTGCCGGGCCTTGAAGCAAAGTGCGAGAGCGACCTCCGATGCGCGTAGCCTTGTCTTCGGATCCGTGAGGTAATTATTGCCCAGCCAAGCTGAATCTTCGTGGGTCCTGACCAGGTACTTCGGCGCTGCTAAAGACCTTCCTGGAGTGAGGGAGCTGTTTGAAACCGAGATCATCCCGGATGCCCCGCGCAAAACAAGGACTGGGTGGGCTGTGTTGTTAGGAGTCAGAACGCATGAATGTTTGCCCGCGATGTTACTATGTATCAATTACTCAGGGTTCAGAAAGCAGTACGCCTGCAGCATCAGCATCGAATTCGCTTTGCGGTAGACACAGAAACAGATGCGAGTTTCGCAGCTCCTGTTGCATGCTCTGTCACGTTGAAATGCTTGCTGCAGGAAGCAGCTATTTCTCCACATCCAACCGGATTATTATGGCTGGCGGGATGAAGAGGATGGCATGCTGCTCCTGGAGGACGGCAAACGGGGGCCCAGCAACACAGTTGTATTTGTTTCGAATGTTGCACGCTGTTCAGAAGTTCAGCCGAAAACTCCATTCCACACTTGGCTTTGTGCTCCGAGGAGAAGATCGCTGAAGAAGAGGCCGACGCTTGGCTTGCAAGGCCCTAACTGATGGCACTCGTCTCTCCGATTTTGCAAGAAGTTCATAAAACTATCATCGCTGTAAGGTCAAGAAGCTGCAGGCCGAATGGAAGGTCGAGCAGGCAGAGCAGGCTGCCAAGGCCTCGAAGAAGCGGAAGGCCCCCAAAGAGGAAGCACAGAAAGAGGAGGAGAAGCAGGACACCCAGCAGAACGCTCGTGTCGACGGCCCTTGGTTTCGACCCCCAGTCTCGGACGAGAACACGTAAGGCGTAAGGGACAACATCCAGCTGTGTGATGACTCCAACTTTTGGGGTTCACCAGCACGTGGAGGATGCTAAGTTTAAGCTGCTACAGCGGACCGAAAGCTCCGGGCCTCTCCTCGACCGCAACAACTCTACCAGTGTAAGCTTTCTTTGTATTCCGCAACCCTGTCTTCACAGTCGCACAGGAGCAGCCGAAAGAGCCAGAAGTGGAGAAGCCCAAGGACCAGGATTTCGCAGATTTCAAGGCCAGCGCACTTTGACGCGGATATAACAGCAAGCTGCAGCCAGCACAATCCTTGCGAGAACCTTTCTCTACCTTGGGGGAAGTTTGGGATCCTTCATACAACATTGGGCCATGGGGTGGTCCACACTCTCGACCTATGCTGGTCCCAGTTCAGTTCCGCAGAGACCGCGAGGATGCCGAGTGCTTAAGTGGTGCATTTGTTTGCACGAAGACACGAAGAAGGGCCTCGGGCCAATGACAGTCACAAAACCTGAGTCAGTGCATAAAAAAACTTCATGCCGTTACTCCTTTCGTATCCCTGTGAATCGGCAGGCCTATGTAGACATTCCAACGATGGAAGACATCGAGCGTCTCATCGTGAAGAAGAAGAAGGAGACGCTGCTGAAAAAGTACGCGCCCAGCGAGGCTCAATCGAATGATTGACGATGTCACATAGGTTCAAGACAGCAGACATCGACACCACACAAGCAACTCCAGAGTTGACAAACACCGTGAGCTGCTAACTTTGTAAACTACTGCACAGTAGGTTGTTGCATATTCTGGCTTGCTGGTTGGCATGCTCGGTTTCACAATGCAGCTCGGCGAGATCACATCGGCAGTGAAAATTGGAGAGAGCAGGATGCAGGGCCATTGCATGGTGGCGAGGGAGTGGCAGGGCACTGCTGTGGACAAAAGAGCTCCAGGCCTAAGGAAGTTTAGCGCAGGTATCAGACACGAACATCCTTTGTGTGTAAGGCCTTCCTTTCACGATGATGTTCGACTACCCATCGTCGGGCACTCACAGCGGTTGTGCTCGGGACTGGAGCGCCGGCCGGCCCAGCATTGCGTGTTGACTTCGGGAGGCAGGCATTGGATTATTCCCGCGGATGCCAGTAGCAGACAGGTCGTTGTTCATTGTGCGAGGCCGTCTGTCTGTGTTTGTCTCTGTGTCTGTGTCTGTGTGTGTGTGTGTGTGTGTGCGTGTGCATGTGTGTTTCTGTAGTGCTTCCTTGCAGAAGGCAGTCTTCATGAACTTTGGCTCTCTAGTTTCTCGTACTACCGGTTGGGATGGAGAAGCCATTACCAAGATTGTGCTTTAACAAAGATTAGGGTTTGGGGCTGCTGCCATTGATTCGTCTACATGCTGCGCGTTTGGCTGTCTTCTGGGGAGCAGCTTGCGGCGGTACCGGTGGGAGAAGTGCGTGACGTGCGGGGCTTGAAACAACATCTGCATGGCATTTGCGGTCTGCCCCGATTCAGACAAAGGCTCCTTGGGGAAGGCAGGAGCTTGGAGGATGAGTTTGAATTGGAATGTTCGCTTGACTTGCAGCTTGTGCTTTTGCAGTTTGATACATCTCCAGATCACGCACATCAGCTGGCCCATCAACTCCAGCATGCTGCAAGGCATAATTTTCCATCTCAGGTTGAAGAGCTGCTTTCTCGGCCCCAAGATCCAGATATCACGGGAACCATGGGTGAGTCGGCTCTCTATGTGGCATCCGAAAGGGGCCACCAGGAAGTTGTCAGTTTATTATTGGAGGCTGGAGCCAGCAAAAACGTGATTTGTGGCCGCTGGACGCGGTTGACGCCACTTGGCGTGGCATCCCGTGAAGGCCATACCGAGATCGTGCGGTTGTTGCTGGCGGCCGGCGGAACTGCTACAGACCGCCGAGACCGTGAAGCATCACCTCTCTATTTGGCCTCATTGCGTGGGCATGTTGAGGTTGTGAGGCTTTTGCTAGAAGCTGGTGCTGACAAAGATGAGGCCTTTGTCTTCACATACTTTCAATGCGATCCTGACAAGCTCGTCTGCAGTGAGGTCACATCCATTCAGTCACCCTTAGGTGTGGCATCGCGGGAAGGTCACACGGAAATCGTGCGCCTTTTACTTGTGGCGGGTGCAGATCGTGAACGGGGCGCGGGACGGCATGACGAAACCCCTCTCTACTTGGCTTCAGAGCATGGTCACGTCCAAATCGCACGATTGCTCATTGTGGCCGGCGCTGCCAAAGACAGGAGCAGTGGGCCGTGGGGCAAAACCCCAATTCGCATTGCTTGCAGCAAAGGCCATGTGGAGATCGTGCGCTTGCTACTGTGGGCCGGTGTCACGTTGGATGATTGCTCTCATGCAGATGTGTCCTCCAGTGCAGGGGAGGATGAGATCAAGCGTTTGCTCAGTGAGGCAAAAGAGACACCTCAGGTAGAAAGACTTCACACTCAGGCGCAAAGTTCGTGACATGACCGGTCCTCCAATTGTTGAGACAAGGTCAGCGCTCGCCAACACGATGGAAAACAGCTGAAGCTTGTCCAAGCTCCGCATGCGTGCTAGAGATCTCAGCACAGACGCACATTAAGAGGCTCCCACTTCAGCAGCTGCAAGATGTCGGTGGCGGTATTGCTTCTGTTGTTTCACTTTTTTCCGGTTGCCTCGCTAGTAGACTAGCAGGCAAGCAAGCTATCCTATATGCCTACATGCCGAACTATACGTGTGCAAACTCCAATGTGAGTTTCCTTTTGCTCCATAAGGCTGCCCTATTTCTACATAAGCTCTTCTCGTAGATGGGCCTGAAGAGCCTTTCCTGGGCCAAGATTTGCTGCAGCGCACGCTGCCCATGCGGAGATATGGGTCTGTTCTTCCAACTTGGATGTACCTGAGCCATTATTTGTGCGGCGTGCTTTGCCGCAGATTCGTCAATTAGCCTTCCGACAAGACGGTTGCTAACCAACAACTGAGGACGACGACGGCCGCAACAACTACTGCTACTGTACCGCTACCTCTACCATTCCTAGCACCCCACCACCGCCGCCGCCGCCGCCGCCGCCACCGCCACCACCACCACCACCACCACCACCACCACCACCACCACCACCACCACCACCACCACCACCACCACCACCACCACACCCGCTACTACTGGACCCTCATATCCAGCATGCGAGGACTCCCAACACGACCTTGCAGACAACATGAAGACTCTACGTCTCAATGCCGTCCACTCTCGTGTCATGGTTTGGGGGCTTACGTGTAATTAGCCCCCAAGGGCTTGCAGACCATCATGTCCTTTGTCTTGCAGTTGGAACCCTACTTTAAAATTATGCAAGCCCCAATCGCAACTTACTCTGTCCTTTTACTTTTACCGTGATGTTACGCTGGTTCTACTTGTAGAAGCTTGCTCTATCCTTCTGTCAGGGCTACCGCGGGGACCATGACCCAACGGGGACTCATCACCCTGCCTGGGAGCGCTCCGTACCCCCTGGTTCTCCTCGCTGAAAGGGAAAGAACATGCAAACCCCAAGATATCAGGATCAGCGCCCTGACGGACTTCTTCGTCGCTCGGACGGTTCCCGAGGCCATCCGAAGCACAGATAGCAAGGGCACAAGATGTTATCTTGGACACCGCATGTGTGCACAGGCTCCAGAGATCGAGGATGTGATTACTGGAGAGGAGGCCTCTCATCATGCGCAGATAGTTCTGAATCAAAGATTTGTGTGA